TATTAAAATTAATTCTTCCTGGCTCCGTGCCTGTGGCTAAAGTGGCTAAGGCACCTGTGGCTCAAGTGGCTAAGGCACCTGTGGCTCAAGTGGCTAAGGCACCAGCCACATACACCTGAGCTGTTGGGTTCGAATCCAGCCTGGGCCTGCCAAACACCAATGATGGCTACAACCCAAAAAAAAAAAAAAAAAAATAGCTGGGTGTTGTGGCGGGCGCCTATAGTCCCAGATTCTTCGGAGGCAGAGGCAGGAGAATCGCTTGAGCCCAGGAGTTAGAGACTGCTATGAGCTGTGATGCCACGGTACTCTACCCAGTGTGAAAGCTTGAGGCTCTGTCTCAAAAAAAAGAAAATAAATACAATAAAATAAAATTAACTCTTCCTGTTTCTTTGTACTTTTTAGATGCGAATACTAGAAAATTAAAAATTACTTACATAGCTCACATTCACCCATGTTTTTATGAATTCATTTATGTTTTTATGGGACAATGCTGCTCCCAGGGCTAAGGGATTATAGCTAATATCTACACTGGGGTTCCACTTGCATATAATCTGGTATGCACATTTCCCCTCAGGTGTTATAGTTCACTCCATGAGTAGAAGTAGTTCTAACTACAGTATCGTGAATGAAGACACAGTTCATAAAAGTGCATCTGTGGGTTCAATACTTCTCAGTGCACATTTTTGTTTTATCACACCTCTTTACTGTTAAACAGTTACTATTTTTTTCTGAGAATCCCTTTTCCCATTTTACCTACTTGGCAATTTTTTTTTTTAACCTTTTAACACACAACTGAAGCATGATTTTCTCTGTAAAATGTTCTCTAAACTCCCTCACCTCACACCATATCCTAAATAGGAAGACATATTCTGTGCTCTAGACAGTGACTGTGTCTTGGCCAGTATCTATTGAATGCCTGCTGTGTGCTAAGCCCTGGGATAGGTAGTTGGGGGTAACCAAATGAGAATGAAAGGGATTTTGCCTCTATGCCTGTGGTTTTTTATTTTAGAGTGGGACACAGATGAGTAAACACACACTCGCAAAATGCTTTGAAAAATGCTACACAGGAGAGATTTAGGGTAAACATCAATGGTTTACCTCTCCCAGACTTTGTGGTAGACAGGCACATTGAAACAGAACTATAAGCATCTGATTTCACAGGAACCCTGGGCTTAAAACCATAAACTGAATGACATCGCCCTCACATCACAAAACAACTCAAATGAGAATTGGCTTCAAAATACAAACTACCAAATAGACGGTCCCATATATATCCTAGTAGCCTTGCAATGATTCCCTTAGCCAGGAAATTTAGGTATTGATTTTTTAAAAACAAAGGACAACAAAATGATCTCCACACAATTAGCATGATTAAGTAAAAATGAATTCCACAAGAGGTGTGCAATTTACTTAACACTAATGAACTATCAAAAGAGTTCAGGATTTTAATGACTGGATTTCTGAGGGGCTGAGAAGCTAGGTTAATAATAAGCCAGCAGCTTTGGTGAGTCATCTAACGTATGCCGTGGACTTTTTAACCCTGATATTGGAGGGTAGGACCAATATTTGGCTTCTTGGGAAGTCTCAGGAAAAATAAGTAATTTTAAAAGCAACATTTGAATAGTCCAAATATTTGCCCCTAAGTCTATGTGCTAAGGTGGGTAGGCCTTGTTGAGTGCATTGGTCCCTTATATAGAACCTATCAGGTTTTACTTTAGATAGAACTGTGACAAGTGAGGCTATCTGGATTCCCAGCATGCACCAGCCTAGAAGCTGCCAATCAGAAGAGGAGGGAAATGTTAGCGCAGGCTATGCTGGTAACAGAAAGGACAACAGATTTTCAGTTAGTGAAGGGGGAGAGATAGCAAGTACAAAAGGCAGAGATAGATAATCTCCATCATAGCACCCTGGAGTCCTTTAGTGTAGGGACTGATAGCTTCTATACCTCCTGATAGCTTCTATACCTGCCTTACATACAGCAAGAACTTGATATATTTCTTGAATCCACTACAACCTACTACAATAATTACTTCGAACAAAACTGACACTGAATTGTGAAGAAAATGTCAAATGACATCAAATAAACTGCATAAGAAAACAGACACATTTACATTTTAGAAAATCTTTGTGTGACAGTTAAAAATAATTTTTGTAAAAAGAAATTTGAAAACCCCCGCCAAAGGGCCAAGCTCCAATTTTGTTGATCATCATTTAATTGGAACAATCCTGAATAAATGATGCACTCTAGAACAGCAGCCTTTACTGATTTGCCTCGAGCAGATTTTGAACTGTGGCATATGCAAATCATATGCTATTATATGAGGTTTAAACTGTATAAGACGGCAACAGATTGCATAGTTGAATCACTAGGGTGATGTAAAATAATTGTTCTAACATGTACCATCACCATTAAGCAAAATATTCCTGCCATGTGTCCGGCACTGTATTAGGTGCTAGATTTATTAAGCATTAATTTGAAAAATTGCTTTCACGTTCAGGATTGTGAAGGCATTCCAAAACTCTCATTCACATTTTTAAAGGTTAAGTGAAATTTTAAATGCACAACACAGGCATTACATAACAGGCACAGAATATAGTTTTATGACTTGGATAGTTTTTTTTTTTTTAAGTGCATTAGCAACTTTATTTCCAAATGCTATCAAGTTCTTAAGGATCTGAAAATCTACATATAAGAATGGAGTGCCTCATCCCCTCACTGGTCTTATGTAATAAGTATTTTAACACAGGCTTGGCATTTCAACGTTTAGGGTGAGACTAGGCTGTATTTTAGCGTTTCTGTGTCAAGCAAAACAATTTTAGCAACGGCACTCATTTCCCCTGGTAATTCTTTTCATGGAGAGTTACTAAATGCTAGATGCTGGAGTCAAAAAGAAACCTGACATCTGGGGAGGTGTTGAGGGGGTGTTAATAGTTCTAGTTGCATGTTTGGGGAGCACTGAGGATACAATTTTAAAACAGCAAACACAGAGAGAAGGGGAAATTATGGTTTCATACGACTCTCTCCTCCCTCCCCTTTTTCATTTCACCAATTTGTTAACCCCGTTCCCCCCCAATTTAGAGGCGGGTTCACCGAGATTAGGCTGCAGGAAACGGAGAGGCTCCACAGTGCTGCCGCCCCTGCCTCGTGATGTAATTGTTATTTCTTATTCGGAGGCTGAACCGAAGAGAGCTGCGGGAGAGGTAGCAGCCCCGCTCGGTTTGCCTGGTCCTGTTAGGTCAGATCCTTCCCGATGATGTAGACTGGCTGATGGACTCGGACGGAGACTTCGCAGTGACAAAGCAGCTGAAGATAAACCCTGCTCCTGGATCCTCCGTCTGTCCAGGGAGCTGAACGGGGCACTCCTCAGGTCTCCTTCCTAGTTTTCTTCTCGGAATCACTCCACACTATTGCTCGGTGCCTACTACGTGCTGGGCGTGGGGTCAAAATGACCTAGAGTTCGTGCCCGTGCCCCCCAAGATTAAAGCAGGACACACAGATTACAAGGACGTGGAAGAGGGGAGAGTAACGGGGTGGTGGGGGGTCAAGGGAACTCGTGTTGTGGGGTGAAATGGGAGGGCGGAAACGCTTTAAGCGCCAGCGGGGACCCTGGGGCACTTAGGGCACCCCAACTCCCAGGCTGTACCCCAAACGTGAGCCCTTTGGCCTGGATAGAGAAAATGATCCCCTGGGCCCCACGGAGGTGCTGTCCAGGCGCCCTCAGCGGTCGGGGGCGGCTGGACAGAGCCAGGAACCGAGGGGGACGGCTCGGCGCGCGAGCACCCACCTCTCCCGGTCGTCGCTGTCCTCTCGCTGCCTCCGGGCCCCGCAGCCCGGGCTCGGCCACCCGGAGTGCGGGCGAAGAGGAAAACAACAAAACAGTGGGGCTTCCAGCTCCCGGGAGCCGCCGGGATTCCAGCGGCTTCCTCCTGACCCGGTGACAATGGGAGGGAGGGGAAAAAAAGGGTTAAGAAACTTGGCTGAAGAGCTGAATGGCGTGGAGCGGCGAGGGGAGGGACTGGGCCGCGGCGGACTCGGCGGCGGAGGGAGG